TATGTTGCAAATATAGCTTCATATGAGTATATGTTTATGCAGGTAAAGTAGGATATACATATAATAGTTATGACTGAAGCAAAAAATGAGTATACACTTTCAAATGCTGCATCCCAATGCACTTTTCTCTATTTTTGTTGTGTCCAGTGACCAGTACCTCAAGTTAATCTAAATGAAAGTAAGAAATGCTGAAAAAAAAAACAGTTTAAGTTTTTTAATATATTATTTCATTTTAAATTAACATTTATTTTCCATTTAAGTAACGAAAATATACAGTACTAAACATATTATTTTAGCTAAAGTATTTGTTTAAATACTTTGTACCTTTTACCTCATGTATGCTGTAAAAAAAACTACCTTGCTACCTCATACATTTTTAGACAAAACAAACCACTTTTATAATTTATTTTCACCCAAAATCCGTTGCTTCATCAATGTTTAAAAAAGAACAAAAATCATGCATCATACACCAGGGCTCCTCAAATCTGACCCAGGAGATCCACTTTCCTGCAGAGTTTAGCTCTAACCCTTAACACACCTGAGCATTCTAATCAATGTCTTCATGATCATTAGAGAATCACAGGTAACGTTAGGTGAGTTTTATCAGGGTTGGTGCTAAACTCTGCAGTGCATCGATAAGATTTGAGGAACCCTGTCATACACGGAGTGGTGAAAAGCCTGTTTTTATTAAGGTGTGCCTTTAGCCCTCTGACCTATAATATTATATAACATTGTATAGTTCAGTGCTTTAGCCCCGTTGTATCTTATTGTTGTTGTTTACTTTTCGATAACGAACTTCTGACGTACCTGCCATGGCGATTACAAGCAGAACAGGGAGTAAATTAAACCATCATAGTCCTACTACTTTGAACACTTTTATGTTTAGTTTAGTTCGGTTTGGAGTCCCGCGTTAGCTGCACCGTTTTTGTTTTGTTTTTACATTACTGATGCGTGTTAACGTGTTCCTGTCAATGCTATTCGTCTACTTCTTCATGTGTTTTATGAGCAAGGTTGCCAAATCTGCGTAACAAAACCAGCCCAGCTGCTACTCAAAACTATAGTCCACTCGACCAAAACTAGCCCAATCGTGTTACGAGGAAGATTGGCTGTCAGAATCGCTCCAAAATTGCGTTCCTTCACTCTAAAAAATGCTGGGTTAAATACAACCCAGTGCTGGGTAAAATAGGGACAAACCCAGCAATTGGGCTGTTTTGACCCAGCGGTTGGGTTACTACCCAGAAGGTTGGGTTAAACATTTAACCCAACCGCTGGGTCAAAACAGCCCAATTGCTGGGTTTGTCCCTATTTTACCCAGCACTGGGTTGTATTTAACCCAGCATTTTTTAGAGTGAAGGAACGCAATTTTGGAGCGATTTTGGAGTGTGGAGGTCAGCTTCGGTTGAAATCGCGTTCCGGGAGGCGAGGGGTTTTCAACCTGGAGAAACAGTATAAAGTAGCCCAATTCCGCAAGAAAATTGCAGACTTGGTAACTCTGCTGCACAGGTAGAGCTCCTCAGGCACGTGGTATCTGAGTTAGAGAAACCCATCACATTCTAGCTTCATACATGCATGTTTATGATTCCAGGGTGAAGCATTTAAAACTAACTGTACAGAGATTGAAGTGGCATTCGTATGGAAAACATCAGTGGGAGTAATATGTTTCAATTTTTTAGAATATGAAAGTGTTCACGTCTCCTCCAGTGGGCAACCAAATCCTGAGATTTAGATGCTGCAGAGCGCCCTCTGAAGAAGGAAAATGTTCAATAGTCACTCCAAGTGTATTAAACGAGAGAGAGAATTTTAGAGATTCTGTACTGTACTTTGCCATTATTAGGCCCTGTTTAACCCTGTCTAACCGTCTAACCCTGTTTCCTAAAATAATATGCCATTATAAGTGTTGTTAAACTCTTAGCAGTTGGCCTAGAGCATTTATAGCAAATACATAAGGTTATTTGGGCAAACGTTTCTTCTTGTCTGGCAAACAAAACTACAAATGTGCTGACATTCTAATGCTGGGGGCCTTTCTCAGCCTCTTGATGTTGCCATATCTGTCAACCCTTACGCGGTCTTTGGGGACCTTTTGACCCGCAAATGACGTTTGCTAAAATTAAAAAAAAAAATTCTTTGTCCAAATTGCATGAGACTTTTTATGGTGGTCAACACTTTCTAGATCTACAAATAAATAAAAAATGCAGTACAAAAAAATGCTCAACTTTGACAAAAAGTAATTTTTATTGTTATAATTTCAGAATATGTAGATATGAATCCAACTGAAAAAAAAACTTGAGAAAATATATATTTTAGTTAGTCAAATAGCATATAGTGGAGCTCTGCAGCTATCTAGTGGTAAAAGTGATCATTTTTTATTTTTAAAACTCAAAACTCATTTTCCAAAAGATCTCATAATCTTACACTAAACCATGTCAAATTATCCATGTTATCCCCATGAATACAAGTTAGAAATGTGGGTCTTTTATAAAGTGAATTTTACATAAAAACCTGTTTTTGTATAAAAACCTATTTGAAATTTTTTTTTTTTATTTATATACATTTAAAAATATATCACAAATCCTCCAAAAACTGCACAAATGTGGAGTAAAAACATTAATAAACAGAGTAAAATTACATTCGTTTTTTTTTTTAAATAACTATTTTCTTACAAAATTACATGTCTCTAGAGACCCCAAAGACCATGAGTGTACACCTCAAATGAAGACCGCATGAGTTAAAGGTGTAAAATCGTATTGTTGTTGCTGGAACAGAAGACTTGGAGAGAGAAATTAAACTTCCAGGCAAACTTCTAAATTCTTCTAGGTTTGTAGTCTGTACTAGCTTATATAGTTAATGACATCTGATTTTGTGGTTATGTGTCACTTCCTGATGAAAGTCATAGAGACTGAAATCTTTACTGAATGCTCATCAGATCAGTTTGAGCTCCAGAAGTATCATCAAGAGAATCAACACAACTTATAACAATACAATAATTGTTCAAAATGTCCATCAGCATGTGGGTTTTCATTGTGTTTTTCATCAGTATGGAGGGTAAGATAAATCTTTGAAATATATTTTCTTTTGTCTGTTGTTTTAGTGGTTGTGGTCACTGATCAAATGACTTACTGGAACATTTTTAAGTTTGTAGTCAATTTATGCTGCATACAAGTCTTGAGTGTTACTTTTCAAACACTGCAACATTTCAAGTCTCTATCATGACAGTGCTTCTGAAATCTCTGAATCTCTGTGATCTGGAAATAGTAAGATACTGTAGTTATTGGAAAACATGTTGTGAAACCTCAGCATTGCATCATAGGTTAATCAAGACATACATGAAACTACTTTATGAGGATGAGAAATGTAAACTTTGTCCTTCTTCAGTTTATAGAAATGTTGTCACAAGTTTGTGAAAAACTAAATAGGTCAGTCTGTGGGTCTTGCCATGACAGCCACATGTAAATTTACAATTATAATAGATGCATTATCTATTTGGTAAGGGGACCATTTCCTATACCACACTCTTTTGTATGTTTCCTTTGTACCCTTTGTGTACCATGCGTTAAAGCATATGCAGTTATTATAGTTTTTAATTTAGTTTTTAATTTCTATTTTATTTTCAATATGACCTTTGAGTTTAGGTCACTTTGTGTTTGTTTTTAATCTGTGAATGTACGGGTTTTCAGTGTTTTCTAGTGTCAGCTGTTTTTGCCTTTCAGTATATTTCATTTTTATTTTGTTTTTATTTATTGCCAAACAACATAATTGTCTGGAATTTCTTGGTGAGCTCAAACACAAACACATTCGTACATACATACATAAATTATTCCAACCATTATAAAGAATGAAATACAGATGCACAAGTGCCAGAAGAGATTTTTTGAATTTTAGAGTTTAGAGAATGGATATTATGTAAATATAACAGTGTTAATTAATCTCAGGATCATACAGTGTTATGGTTAATTTGTTACATTTGTCATGTGTAATTAAAGCAAAAATGTATTTATTATTTAAAAAAATTAATTAATTGAAAAAAAAATTTGTATTAAATTTGTGTTCATTTTGATATAGTTTTGGAATCATAAAAATTTATTTTAATTTAATTTTAAGTTTTTCCAATTATGTTTTCATACAATTATAATAGTTAAATTTTAATCATAACTAAAAGCTTTCCTAACTAACCTAAGCAATAGTTTACCCCAAAATTAAAATTATCTGAAAATGTATTTAACCTCAGACCATCCGAGATGTAGATGAGTTTGTTTCTTCATCAGATTTGGAGAAATGTAGCATTGCATCACTTGCTCAGTAATGGATCCTCTGAAGTGA